TTAGTTGTTCTGTCCTTTACTGAGAGTGGTGTATTGAAGTCTCCTACTATTATTGTGGAACTGTCAGTTTCTCTTTTCGGTGATGTTAGAGTTTGGTTTATGTATTTTGGAGCCCTGTCATTGGGTGCGTAGATGTTTATTATGGTTATATCTTCATTACGGATCGTCCCCTTAATCATTATACAGTGTCCTTCTTTGTCTTTTATGGTGGATTTTGTTTTAAAGTCTATTTTATCTAAGATTTGTATTGCCACTTCTGCTTTTATTTGGTAGCTGTTAGGCTGATATATTTTTTTCCAACCTTTGATTTTTAATAAATTCATCTGTTTGTTTCTAAGGTGTGTCTCTTGTAGACAGCATATTGATGGCTCCTGTTTTCTTATCCATTCTGTCACTCTCCGTTCTTTATGGGTGCATTGAGTCCATATACATTCAGTGTAATTATTGATAGATGTGAGTTTGTTGATGTCATTTTGTAGTGCTTTTTTTTGTGGTGCTGATGTTTTCTTTGTTCTTCTTACTCTCCTGTGCTGAATTCCTTGTTTGTGGATTTTTTTTTCATTTCTTTTGTTTTTGTAGCTTTTGTTTTTACTGAGACTTTATGTTTTTCCTCTTTATTTTTATGAGTATATTTGTTAACTTTCTTTATGGTTACCGGACACTTACCCTTATCTTTCTAAGTCTGAAGCAGTCTATTATTACTTGGTATCACCTTGCCTTCCTCTCCATTAGAAGGTTCTATACGTACACCATTTATTCCCTCTTTTATTGTTCTGATGTTGTTGTCATTTACAGATTAACTGCTCTGATTCCGTGTTGTATTTCTTTTGGTTTTGGATAGTCCTTGAGAGTTAATTTCCTAGATTGGTATCTGGTTGGTATGATCCTTCGTCTTAGATTCAGCCTGTGAGCTGAAGTTGTTTGTTCTCAGATCGAAGGACTGCCTTTAATGCTTCTTGTAAGTTTGGTTTCGTTTTTATATATTCCCTTAATTTCTGTTTATCTGGAAATGACCTAATTTCACCATCATATTTGAACAAGAGTTTTGCAGGATATATTATTCAGGCTGGCAATTCTTTTCTTTCAAGGTTTTGTATATGTCATCCCATTGTCTTCTTGCCTGCGTGTTTTCTGCCGAATAATCTGAGCTTAGTCTTATTGTTTCTCCTCTGTATGTGACTTCTTGTTTTTCATGAGCTGCTCTCAGGATTCTTTGTTTGTCTTTGGTTTTGGCGAGTGTGATTATGCTATGCCTTGGTGATTTTCTTTTGGGGTTTATGCTATACAGGGTTTGTTGAGCTTCTTGGAGGGTCAGCTTTTCATCTTTGAGAACATTGGGGAAGTTTTCTGTCGGCACTTCTTCAATTATTCTCTGGGTTTTCTGTTTTCTTCCCCTGTTCTGGAACTCCAATCACTAG